AGGGCCCATCTTTCCTCCTCCCACGTGTGCGCCCCCTCTCCTCAGGCGGACAAGAGAAGGGGCTGAGGCTGAAGTTTCCTCCTTTGCAGGGATCCAGCTGATGCAACCGGCAAAAGGGCTGCTGAAGACGTCCAAGTCCAAGCAGATGCGAGCCCGGTGGGGGCTGGCCTACACCCTGCTCCACAATCCTTCACTCCTGGCCTGCCGAAAGGCTGCGCTCTCTGACCCCACAGCCAACGGGACCCAGCCTCGCCCTGCCAAGCCCTGACCCCCCCAGGGGAGCCCCCCTCTTCCCTGGGACTGTTCCAGCTGTGCTCACTGCCTGCTCTGTCCTCTCCTTATGCACCCCTGGGCACTGCGGGGCCCTTGAGCGAGGCTGCGCCCCATTGCCTGCCTGGCTGGGGGACCAGGGCTGTTCTCTGGGGCCAGCACGAAGCCAGGGGGATGGGCTGCCTGGGAATCCAGCCCAGACTGAGCTTAATCATGCCAGGCCAACCCTTTGCGCCTCATGCTACACCTGGGAAACCCGCAGCAGCTCAAAGGCCCCTTGGGAACCGTTCCAGGTTAGCCCTGCTGCGCTCACAAGTGAAATGAGTTTGGTGGTCTCAGAATTTTTATCCCCATTACCCTTCTACCCTGTGGTTTGGATTATGCAAGTCCCTGCCGGGGGTGAATGGGAGAGAGAACGGGAGGGTGCTGGCCGAAGGAGCTGGGTCTGCCCCCAAGCCAGCACAATCTGCCCCGTGTTTCAGAAGGCACCGCCCCTTCTACCCACTGGCCCCCAAGGATCCTGCCTGGGAGTCTTTCCTGGACCCCTGTGGCCCCCGAGAGCGGCTGGGTGCAGCTTGGCTTTGCAGCTGGGTCCAGCGTGGCCTACGGTGGAGCTGCTGGAGCGCTGATGAAGGAGCCGGGCTTCAGGCTTTGAGAGAGAATCCCGCTGTGACCACGCTCATCGTGTCCCCCCTGCCGCAGCCTTTGGTCCTTGTGCCGGCAGGTGCGTCTGGCGACCAGACTGCAGGGTCCTGGCAACGGGCCCGCGATGTGCAGAGTGATCCCTCGCTTTCATGGATCCTCTCCGCTGCGGGGCACTTGCCTCCGTTTCCCAGCAGACCGAGGGGTCTGTCTTCTGCCCCACTGCCGCCTCCCTTTTAACAAGCGATTCCTTGGCCTCTGGGCAGGTCGGAGTGGGAGTGAGCCGAGCTACTAGTACAGAGCTGTGAATTTACCTCCCCGTGGCAGGGGATGTGGCCTTAATAAATACCATGCCTCTTGCCTACTGCTTGGAGAGTGCCTCTTGCGTTCTCGGTCTCCTGTAAGTACAAGGGTGAGCAGAAGGGCTTTTGGAGGCATGCTCATGCAGGGCAGGGCAGGACAGAGCAGAAGGAAGCCTGGCCAATCAGGGCCCTTGCATATGACCACCTTTTGCTGCGGTTAGCGTGGCCGTTTGGTGCATGGCTGGGGACTTGGTTCTACTCCCCTGCACCCCACAGCAGCAATCCCAAAGCATGAGAAAAGCAAAGCCAAGCAGATTTCCATAGGCCCATGTAGATGGAACCTAACCCTTGTCCCTCACACCATAAACAGCACATGGCTTCACAGTAGCACTGGCTGCAAGTGTGCACGTGCACGGGGGGACAACTGCTTGTTTGCTTGCTCCAGGAAACTTTTTTTTTAAAAGAAAAACAACCCTGAAAATTGAAATTTGCTGCTGAGGTTCCTCATTCTCCTCTGGGGCAGGGCTCTCTAGAAAGACTTCATCTCCCATGATGCCCTGCAGCCCCAGGGCGCCTCAGTGTGACTCCTCTGGAGCATAACTGCAAGAGTGCAGAAGAACTTTTGTCCAGCTGGGGCCCGTCTCATTCTAGCCAGCTCTACTTAGAGAGCCAGAGCTGCTCCAAGGAGACTGGTGTTCAGCCTCCTGCTGTAGCATGTGGCCTGCAACTATGGCCCAGTGATTCCTACACCCGGGCCATGATTGCTACTTGAGCTGGAGCATGCCTCGGAGGCAGTCCTGGCTGAAAGGCTGCAAGGGAAGGAGACCCCCTGTAGCCCAAGGTCAGTTGTTCCAGTGAAGAATTACACCTGGAAAACTTTCCTCTTTTATTTTTAGTCTAAATTTCTATAGCTCCCAGCGATCAGAACTCATTACAGCCGTCTGCTAAAAAGCCATTGCACCAGGAACACTGCCTGTCCCACCAATCCATGTCACAGGCACCGGTCCAGGCCAGCCTGTTGGCCGACCAGATTGATCACGGATCGGCAGGAGCGGGGCTCTATCGGTCCGGACATGCTCCAGAATCTGGCCAAGATGGAACCCTGCCCCTCTACCTATGATCAGTCTGCTTGGCTGCCAGAATTGCCTGGCCCCTGGATTGGTACCTGTGACTGATTGATGGGCCGTCTGGGTGTGTGTCTGTCAGCATGTGCTAACTGCTTTACTGCTGCATTCTCAGTAAGTGCAGCACCTGGCCTTCCCTTGAAAAGACCAGTGTGCTTCTTGTAAGCATGGCCTCTCTGCTGGCTGCTGACTGTCCTGGACCTGCAGGAGACCCCATGTTGGGTTAGCCCTCGTGCTGCTGCTGCACATACCAAGAGCTGATCTAAGTGGCAGTACCATGTTTGACTGAGACTCGTTCTGAACATTGCTAATACCCTGGAATGAGGGAGCTGTGATTAAACAAGGAAAGCTGGCAAAGCAAGAGCAATTTACCTTTGTCAAGAAAACAAACACTTCTGTAAATTGCCTGTACTGGTGCCAGGCTCCTGTGTTTGGATGGGGGATGGTCCTTAGCGAAAGGCTTCCCTGAGCTACCTAGGTTTTTTCCAGACATTTTATTAGATCTGGCATGAGGCTCATCCTAGAGCTGGCTGGGGTTCAGGATGCTGCAGGCCAGGATTAAAGCGTCTTAGTGGCAGCAGGGGGCACTGAAGAGCATTGATGGAGACCCGCACTGGCTCTGCACGTGCCCAAAGAGCGCATGCCGATGGGGTGAGGTGCTTCGGTGGGGATGCTGGAGCTCAGAGCTGAGCGGTGGGGGCAGACCATGGGGTAGGGTGGAGCTAGCACAGTGTGATCACCCCAGTGTGATCAGCCTCACTTTGCTGCCCCATTTAATTCCTGTTTGTTCAGCATACGGGCAGAGCGGCGGCAGGAAGAGCGCGTTCAGGCTGTCAGTGCTAGGATCGTGCCCTTGTTCCAGCGTGGGCCCTACCTCATGCAAGAGAGGAGAGGGGCCTTGCTCCCGAGCACCTGATCTTGCAACCTGAATGACATACTTCTGAGGGAGGGTGGGAATTTTGGGTTTGTTTTTAAGTATATACAAAACCCAGGGTCATTTCCATGTGAGCCAAGCTACCCACATGGGGTGGGAGTCAGGCTTGGAACGGCAGTCAGTTTAAGGAGTCAGAAGTATCTTTGTTTCCCCCCCACTATTGGTGAGAGTCAGTGTAAGTGCCTTTCCTCTAGGTCAGGGATGGGTCAGGACCCAAATATGGGTCGCCATTACATTTCAGAAGGGTGGCCAAGTGTCTCCCCAGGTGGCTCTGCCTCCCTCCTCCCCGCGTTTTTGAATTGCCTTAGGTCGCCAAGTCTTCCTGAATTGTCAAAATGGGCCCCCTGGAAAAGGTTGGGAATCGCTGCTCTAGGTTATCCTTAGGCCAGTGGGCACCTACCAGTCGATCGGGATCTACCAGTAGGTTTTGGAGCCTCTGACAGGGGATCCTGACTGGTTTGGCCAGGAAGCTCTCAAGTGCTGGCACTTCAGTTGCCCCTCCCCCCACTGCCCCGCTGCTCCTGCCCTCCTGCTTGTTGTGCAGGGGGTGGGAAGAAGGGGGGGGATGCGGATGTCAGGGTTTCCCTCCTCCCCCCACTTCTGTACCTTGTCTCCAGGCAGAGCAAAAGCAATGGCGGGAGCTTGGCAATGCAAATGTGTCCCTGTCACATTCTCACACTGTCGGTCTCACAAGCACACATTGTCCCCCCGACCCAGCAGACACGGGGCGGCTGGTTTTCTTGTTGGGGCTGGCGCAGTGGGTTAGGCTGGGTTTGGACTGGCCTGTGCATTTCCCCGTTGTCATTTCTCTTACGCTTCCATGTCATTCTTTGTGGAGTGAGCGCTAAGCTGCCACACTGCCGTGGCTGAGTAGTTACCCACGTGGGCATTGCTGCCCCTGGAGGTGGCTGGGGTGTGCCTGCAGCCCCTGAGAGGCAGAGCAGGGCTCTCCACCTGCTGCCCCTGCCTGCAGCCACCCTCCTGCAGCTCTCATTGACCAGTAATGGGGCACTGTAGCCTGTGGAAGCTGCGGGCTCAGGGCCTGTGGGCGGGGGGCAGCACCTGGTGCCATGGAGCCATTGCTGTACATACCAGCTGCTTTCAGGAGGGAGCTGCCTTCGCCCCACTGCTCCACAAGCCGTCTCAGTTAAACGCTGCCCAGCTCGAGCCTGCTTCCTGCACCCAACCTCCTGTCCCGGGGTGAGTCCCCTGCACCCAACCTCCTTCCCCGAGCTTGCATGCTGACACCCCTCCTGGACCCCACTGTGCACCCTGACACCCCTCCTGGACCCCACCGTGGGCTGAGCCCCTCCCACACTCCAAACCCCTTGGCCCAGGACCAGAGCCTGCGCCCCAGCCTGGGGAAAGTGGGGGAGGAAGGGGGATGGGGTAAGCAGGGTGAGGTCTTGGAGAAGGGGTGGAGCGGAGCAGGGCAGTTCCAGCATGTTAACAGCTTCTGACGATGGCAGAGACAGGCCCCCTTCTGCTGCCTTTGCTGCTGGGGGTGGGAGAGAGCCAGGGGGCCTCAGGGCCCAGCTGGTTCCCATGTGTCCCTGGGGCTCCCCCAGTGGGTGAAGGGACTGTCCTGTGGGGTTCTGTGGACCGGCAGGGCGGCCTGTCCCCTTGCATGCCCCTGCCCCTCACACACTGAAGGCCAGTGGGCACGGGGCTGTGGACTGTCCCTCCCGGGGGCCCTGAGGTGTGATATCCCCTCCCCCATGAGTCCCCTGCACCCAACCTCCTTCCCCGAGCTTGCATGCTGACACCCCTCCTGGACCCCACTGTGGGCTAAGCCCAGAGCCCCTCCCACACTCCAAACCCCTTGGCCCAGGACCAGAGCCTGTGCCCCAGCCTGGGGAAAGTGGGGGAGGAAGGGGGATGGGGTAAGCAGGGTGAGGTCTTGGAGAAGGGGTGGAGCGGAGCAGGGCAGTTCCAGCATGTTAACAGCTTCTGACGATGGCAGAGACAGGCCCCCTTCTGCTGCCTTTGCTGCTGGGGGGGAGGGAGCTAGGGGGCCTCAGGGCCCAGCTGGTTCCCATGTGTCCCTGGGGCTCCCCCAGTGGGTGAAGGGACTGTCCTGTGGGGTTCTGTGGACCGGCAGGGCGGCCTGTCCCCTTGCATGCCCCTGCCCCTCACACACTGAAGGCCAGTGGGCACGGGGCTGTGGACTGTCCCTCCCGGGGGCCCTGAGGTGTGATATCCCCTCCCCCATCACCTGGGCTACGTCTACACTGGCATGATTTTCCAGAAATGCTTTTAACGGAAAAGAGCGTCTAGATTGGCAGAATGCTTTTCCGCAAAAGCCCTTTTTGCAGAAAAGCGTCCGTGCCAATCTAGACGCGCTTTTGCGCAAAAAAGCCCCGATCGCCATTTTCGTGATCGGGGCTTTTTTGCGCAAAACAAATCTGAGCTGTCTACACTGGCCCTTTTGCGCAAAAGTTTTGCGCAAAAGGGACTTTTGCCCGAATGGGAGCAGAATAGTATTTCCGCAAAAAGCCCTGATTTCTTACAGTAGGAAGTCAGTGCTCTTGCGGAAATTCAAGCGGCCAGTGTAGACAGCTGGCAAGTTTTTCTGGAAAAGCAGCTGATTTTCTGGAAAAACTGGCCAGCCTAGACACAACCCTGCTGTGTGTTGCAGTGAGGGAGAGGAGAGGGCCCAGGCTGTAACCCGTCAGCCTTCGCCACGAATCGCCATGTTCCGTACACCACAGCTGGGTATTTTCCATGGGATCTCTCCCACGGGTGTCAGGTCCACCCTCCCCACTTCTCATCACCTTAGCTGCAGCTGGTGATTCCCGAGGCGGCAGGGCTTCCAGTCCGTTTTACTGCTGCCAAGGAGGTGGCTCCTGCTCGTGTCAGAGGCTGGCCCCATGCTCTTCGCTGCCCGTAGCTCCCAGCCCCCTGCCCTGAGCCACGGCCAGACGCGGGGAGTCGTCTGCAAGAGATCTTTATCACATGCCACGTGTGCCAGCCACGTAGGTCCAGGTGAGGTGGCTACAGCGACAGGGTCCTAGCTCCTGTGGGACAGTGCTCGCACAGTGCCCTGGGAAAGAGGCTCTGTGGCTGAGAAACAGGCCTACGGCGTGAGATGGAGAACGCCCTGCCCTGCCCTAGAGAAAAGCTGGACTGGGCATAGGTGCCTGTAGCCCAGGGCTGCTCCACTTTGGAACCCCCGGGGGCCACAATGATACTCACTACACATGTCGAGGGCCGCAACTTAAGTGTGGCTGCATATAGATGCAAATAGCTTCTTTCACACTGATGGGCATGAATACAAAGATTAAGGCGAGACGACACAACACGCAGGCCCCATTTAAGGCAGTTCTGCTGATATTGATAAAATGCAAAAGTTACCTGATTTCCACCAGTATGACAGCACTTTCCGTGAGCAATGGCAGTCCAGGGATTTAACTACGAAAACACAGCTCCACGGAAGACCATTCTATTGACTCCTTTTTGTTTTGGCTCCCGCTCGGGGGCTGCGTGGGGCCGCAGCCCCTCCCTGTGACCTGCAGCAGCTCCCCCGGCCCCCATCCAAACAGGCCACCCGCATGGCAACAAGCCCTTTATAATACCCGCTGCCCCAGGAGGTGGACTGATCCAGCGCCTTAGAAGACCGAAGTCCCCGGGCAGCAAAGAGGGGACAAGCTCAAGGAGTTCCCTGTAGTTTGGGTCCATCCTTCCTTTCCGTCTGCCCATAGATCAGATTGATCTCAAGTCATAGTCCTCTGCCCTGGCTGCTCCCCAGGGACCCGCAAGGTTTTCCACTCAGCCCCTCACCCTTTGGCCGTTGCTGGGGTGCCGATGGCATTCTAGACTCATGCAGGAGTGGGGCCGGGTGGGACTTCGGGAGGTCACTAAGTCTGGCCCCTGCCTGAGGCCAGGTGAGCCTAGATCACCCTGGTGGGTTTGTCCAGCCTGTGCTGGAAACCCTCCGGTGAGGGGCTTCCCCGGCCTCCCGTGGGGGCTCGTTCCCACGCTCAACCTCCCTTTGCTGCAGGTGAAACCGGTTGCTTAGTGTCCTGTGGCCATGGAGAACAACTAACCCTCATCCGCTTTAGAGCAGCCCTTGGCCCGTCTGGAAACTGTTAACGGCCCCATCTTCCTGGCTCGTGCCCAGGGCTTGCCCTGGCGGCACAGGTCGGGTGTGCTACGCCTTGCAGCATTTTCCTGCTCAACTCTGGGCTCGCTCCAGTCTGACTTTCCTGAAGTGCACCCAGAGCTGGAGACAGGCCGCCCGCTGGGCCTCCCCAGTGCTGTGCTGAGCAGACCCGCCCCTCTCGGGTCTCACGCGCAACACTCCCATTGGCCGCCCGCTTGCACCGCTGCATCGCGCTGGCCTCTCATTCAGCGTGTGAGCTGCGGTAGCCCCAGGCCCCGTGACTGCCTAGCCAGGTAGCCCCAGTTTGTAGCCGGAATTTGACTGGTTTTCCTTCCTAAGTCAAGTCCTTTGCCCTTGTTTGTATTGAATTGAATCTTGTTGATTTTAGGCCAATTCTCTAATTTTTCAAGGTAGTTTTGCAGCCTAGCGCTGCCCTCCCACGTGCTTTCACCCCCTCCCAGCTTTGCGTTCTTTGCCTAGTTTAAAAGCATCCTTTCCGCTCCCATTGGCCAGCACAGCAGGGGAGCCAGGACTGACCCTCCGAGACGGACCCCAGCAGGGCACCACCCAGCGTGCCAGTGAGCCACTGATAACCCTGCTCGGAGAAAGCGCTTTCAACCAGCTGGGGCCCCCCCGACAGCAGTTGTATCTAGACCCATTTGCTTATGCGAATGTCACACGAAAGGGGTCGCTAAAATCAAGCTCCAGCATGTCTGCGGCAGCCCTGCCCCAGCTGCTAGGCCACTCGCCTGCTCCAGGAATGGAACGAGGTTGGTTGGGATGATTTGTCCTGGCTGCTTTTACAGTCCTCTGGGCGCTCACAAGCCAGATAGGCAATCGTTGGAATGGAAGCGCCCGATTGGCTGGTGACGGTGCCAACTGGAGGTGGACTTGGCTCCCCTAATGTAGATTCAGGTGTGGATCTGTGCCAGGGCTCACTCATCAGTGTATGCTGGGCGGCTAGTACAAACAGGGGACCTGTTTAGTTGAAAGATGGGACATGCCAGGCCTGGGTTATTGCCCTGTGATGGCTTTAATCCTGATTTGCCCTCACCCTTGGCCTGCTGATCTCGGCACCTTAGACTCGCAGGTGGGGCTGGGATCCGGAATCAGGTTTTCCAGCAGGCTGCTTTAATAGCATGAGCTGAACTAAGCACTTGGTAGCGAAGGCCCCCAAACTCCGGGGTGAAGGGAGGTTTGAAAGTCAGACCTGGGTCTGGCATCTCAGCGCCTCAGACAGCTCCCAGCAGCTCGGTGCGTGCGTGTGCTATGTTGATATAAATGATGCAGAAATACAAAGGTGGCATTTCCCCTACCAAGGGAGGACAATGACCAACCAGAGCAGGCAAGTCCAGCGCCATGGCTCCAGCACAGCACCTCCCCCACTGCGCCCCATCCCTGCAGGAACACGGTAAATGATCACGAGCTTTTCTGCAGCCTGGGAGGAATTGGCTTTCCAGGCTTGCTGGCTGCACCTGCGAGCTTGTTTCTGAGCAGATCTTCCAGCAGGCTCTCTGAACTGGCCAGCGCCACGCTGGCGGAGACCTCGTCAGCACCCACCTCATTGGCAGCCAGGCAGGTGTAGGTCCCTTCCTCGCGCTTGCTGAAGTTGGGAATCAGCAGGGTGCCGTTCTTGAAGATCACGAAGCTCCCTGCACTTTGCTTGGAGCCCCCAGCAGCTCGGTCCTGCCTGGGTCTTTCCACACTGGGCCCATTTACCTCTGTCCCTTGGCTGGCGGTCTGCACCCGCCAGCCGAGCTCGGGCGGGGGGCTGCCGGTCG